TTTTTCTTTCTCCTCCCCAAAGTTCCCCCAAGTACACAGTTGTATATTCTCGTTGTGGGTCCTTCTGGTTGTGCTATGTAGGACACCACCTCAGCACGGCTTGATGAACGGTGTCATGTCCACCCCCAGGATCTGAACCAGCAAAAGCCTGGGCCGCCGAAGCAGAGGGCACAAACCCAACCACTTGCCACGGGACCAGCCCCGCAGCTGTAATTTTCTTCATGGATACCTGTAACATCACACAGTAAGTTTTATTCCACTGTTGAGATTTACAAACAAGTGATAAGACACCACGCCCAGCAGGGCTTTACCCGTCCCTCCCAGGGTACCTTACTAAATCCACACAAACGTACCAGCAGCCCTGGAGAGAAGACAGAGAAGGAACACACAGATCGGTACAACAGTACTAGAAATGGTGGGTTTTAAGTTGGATAGTGTTTGCTTTACGGTTATGTTCTGTAACTTGCATTGATGTCACACCATTTTTGTCTATCAAATATCACAATAGAAAGAAACAGAGTGGATTGTGCTGCGATGCTGGGAGGGACCCTGTTCCCTCATCCCTAGAGCCTAGAAACATTTCCCCTGTGGGACAAGGCACCACCGGTACCCACCCCACACTCCACAACTGTCTGCCTGGAAAACCTGCTGCCAGCAGGCCCCCAAACTCCACAATCTGCACCCTGCATCTCCCCCTCTCTCCCCTTACCAAGGGAGTCTGACAACCAGAAGGGTTTTTTGGTTTTTTTTTTTTGAGGAAGATTAGCCCTGAGCTAACATCTGCTCCCAATCCTCCTCTTTTTGCTGAGGAAGACTGGCCCTGAGCTAACATCCGTGCCCATCTTCCTCTACTTTATATGTGGGATGCCTACCACAGCATGGCGTGCCAAGCGGTGCCATGTCCCCACCCGGGATCCGAACCGGTGAACCCTAGGCTGCCGAGAAGCGGAACATGCACACTTAACCACTGCGCCACCAGGCCAGCCCCCCAGCAGGGTTTTGAACCTCTCTGGCTTGAAAGTCGTGGTCTAGGCAAGCCAACGACTGACTTCTAAATATTCCAGGCCAAGTCCTTGTCCTCTTTGGAATTCTGTTCTCTCAGCTCAGCCTAAATAACCTAAACTATGAGAACTAATGTACTACAAAGTTAATCCGTTTAGTTGGTCACAAAGGAAGTTAACTTGAGAATTCTTTCTTAAACCGACAGTAATCTCCTCCAGAGTTGTCACACTATGGCGCAGGCACAGCCACAACTACACTGCCCGGATGTTTCCTGATGGGACTGGGAACAAAAGCGACCTGCCCTTAGGGAACTGAACTCCCACAGGAGAGGCTCGACAAGCAGTCTGAAGTGCACTGAGCACTACAAGCCAGGCCGACCCACACACGAGGGGGGGACTGCGCCGGCAGTCATCAGGAATGTCTCATTAAGGATGGTGTGAGAGGAGGATGAGACAGTTGTCAACAAACTGCTCAGAAAGGGGGAATCAAAACAATGAATCACTACTCAACTGTGGAATTTCACAACTAATTCATGAAAAGCGTATTAAGAGTGCCCGAATTAGTCACCTACTATTTCAGAAGCGGAGGTAAAATTAAGCCTGTATTTCTCCGCATGCCATGAACAAATCCTACTTGATGTTTAATTTTTAAGACCTATTCCAGAGAGTAACCACCATCAGGCATCATGTCTGGCAGCCCCTAACAATAAAGAAATGTGAGCGGCAACATGGGAGTGTGACAGTGGCCTTTTATCCTAAAAGTTTTTCTGGAATGATCCCAATTTTCACATATTTTATCCTGCCATCCTCATAAAACTTCAAACTAGCCTAGAAACTTCAAGGGGATTCAGCTGGTAAGTCCAGGGCGAGCCCGCGCCCTTAGCCCCTCTCTGTGCTCCCCCATCCATTCCTGCTCACATAGCCGTGGGATGTCGGGCAGGTCATTTAACTTCTCTTAGCTGCGGCGTCAGGTGCAAACGGAGACGACAGGACTGGGTGTGCTTCCCTGCACCCAATACAGTGCCTTGCACACAGTAGGCACTTTAAATTCCTACAGAAAGAGGTGGCTGTTTTGGAGTGAGGGATGCCAGAGTCCCTCTGTCCCACATCATGCTGTCGGTGGGTCCTACTCCCCGTGACTGAGCGCTGGTCCAGGCTGCGGGGCTTGGCAAACTGTTCTTCACATGCCAACTCTAACCCTTCTACTATGAACCTTCTGGACACTGCCCCATCACAAAACCATAGCTCTCTCCTTTATCTACTGGGCATTCAGTTTGTGCCCAAGACCCGATCCGATCAAATGTCTCATGACTTCTACTGGACGCCAAATGAAGCAAACAAACGAGTGAGCACTATCCGTGGCCTAGGCATTTTCCCACTGCCTTATTTACCGCACACGTGCTAGAAAGGCTCAGCGTCTTCCTAGACGGTGTGAAAACCACAAGCTCTGTTTTCCTCTTTGTTTGTAAAGTTTCTAATTTAGGAGCACAATGTGTACCTTGAAGCAAAAGCGGCTTTACAACATTTGGTTGAACCTAAGGAAAGGGGGGAGGGGAAGGGAACCCTGACCAGAAACCTTTCACAGGAAACAGGAAGTGGCTGCTTCCCCACCCCCATCCTGCGCTCTGAGCATAACCCAACCAGTTATTCTGGACAATTTAGGCGAAAGGGCAGAATCTGAACCAAGAAACTGAGCTGGAAGAAAACCCCGCAATCAGGGAGGAGTCTGCCAAAATGGAGGCCACCTGCTACTGCAAGGTGGCAAAGCCATGGCCCGATCCCAGGTCAGCCCAGCCCTTGCCCAGCGCTCTTGGCGAGGCCACACAAAGACAAGGTTTGGAATCCCAGGGACTGTCATCAGGAATGCACTAAATGCCTCGCAACCTCAAGGGCTCGGGGTTGGAATCCGAGCCTGAATTGTCCCAGCGAAACAGCTGACTAACAATGTCAGCTGGGGAATATTTTGATACCTTCGAACTGGGCCCCACGTAGGAAGAGGCCGCACAGCGCGCTCTGTGAGTGCAGAGCCCCAGGAATGGTACGCGAGGCCGCCGAGAGCCTGCCCGGGCTGCCCACATTCTCCTCATAGCTAGCTAAAGTGGCTCCCGAAGAGGCTTCCAGATCCGCCCCAGCGGGTACCACGGAATTGACTCCCGGGGGCCTTCCAGCTGGGAAGGGCCCACAAAGCTAGGGCTCTCCCCATTTGAATGTGAAAGACCCGCCTCCATCCAGAAGCCCTTAAGCCATAAACCCTTCACACCAAGGCCAAGTGTCACACTTGTAAGAGGGTGTGATTTATAAATTGACAGCACCCACAAAGCTGCTTTTGTACTCCTCCGTTAGTTAACAATTTATCTCCCCCTCCAAACTCATGGGACTATTCAGATAAAGCCTGACTGGGCCTCAGAAAGAAAGAAAGAACTGAAGAAAGAAAGAAAGGGCCCAAGTTTTGGCCAAAACACCAATGCTCACTCTGGATAATTATAGTCCTGTGAATAGACACTAAAATTAGGGCTTAATAATTCCTCTGTATCACACTCACAGCATCAAACTATTCCAATACAAACATAAAGAGCAAGAAAAAGAAAATCCCCAAGGCAGCCTCGCTGGAAACTGGGAGAGTTCCACTTCGGCGGTTTTCTGCAGCCTCTTTTGTGGTTTCTGCACTCTCAGAATCCCCCCTCAGAGCAATCTAACTCGGCGCTCTGACCAGCTGTTTTTCTTTCTCGACATTTAAATCTACAAAGCGAAGAGTAAATACGGGCTTGGTCATGTCTTTCCTCTCAGTTCAACAAAACCAACTCTGGCCACTTCATCTTGTTTTCGCCATCGCCTGATTCCCTTCTCAGATTCCAACCAGCCACGGAAGCACGGTTGCTCATTCCCACCCCACTCCTCTTCCTACAAAATGAACTGAAATGACTGCACCGAGTCCAGGAGAGTCTAAGCCCCTAACATAAACTATGGTGAAAAAAATATATATATATATACACCTGGTAACACTCGTCAACACTGAGGCCTTTCTTTCTTAAAAGGTTATTTGGTGGAAAAAGAACCCCAAAAACTTTACTTTAAAGGAGCAAAACAAAAGCAAGTCAAGTTTAAACTGTCTCTCGTCCCACTTAGGACCGTACTCAATTAAACTGTCTATCAATCTGAAAAAGAGTTGTTTTGTACAGAGTCAAGGCCTTGGCCCAAAAGCCGTCTCCCACCGGAGGTCCACATCAGAGGCCCGCAGAGCCAAGAAGCCCTGCAGGCACGTCCTCTTCAGCCTCCAGAGGGCTGACGGGAACAAGCGCTCAGAGCAAGCTGAGTAGGTTGCCAAAATGAAAAAGTTTGGGGGACCCAGCCCGGTGGCATAGTGGTAAAGTTCACACACTTCGCTTCAGTGGCCTGGGGTTTGCGGGTTCAGATCCTGGACATGGACGTCTTCCTCACTTAAAACAAATGAATTAAAAAAAAATAAGGGGCCTGCCCAATGGCGCAGCAGTTAAGTTCGCACGTTCTGCTTCGGCAGCCCGGGGTTTGCCAGTTCGGATCCTGGGTGCAGACCTACACAGCACTTGTCAAGCCATGCTGTGGCAGGTGTCCCATGTAGAAAGTAGAGGAAGATGGGCACGGATGTTAGCTCAGGGCCAGTCTTCCTCAACAAAAAAGAGGAGGATTGGCAGCAAATGTTAGCTCAGGGCTAATCTTCCTCAAAAAAAAAAAAAGGGGTAAGAAAGAAAAAGTTTGGGATACAGCATGTTAAAAATATCTACATTTCTGACTCTCTTGACACATCTGGCATCACTGGGTCCACACTCCCTTGTGACAACAGCTGGCTGGCACTAAGCAGCAGCCGCCCCCCTTTAAATGGGACAAGCACTGGCCCCGTCTGTCCAGAGCCCTCCCTTTAAGACTACATGCTTGCTTCCCTTGCTTGCACCCGTAACTGCCTGTCCCCTACAAGGTCCCGGGGTTCCTGACGCTCGATGCCCCCACACACAGGACACATACCTTTTTGACCATAGTTGTCTCCGACGAGTCCAGTTTTGCTCTCTTGGTATCAGGTCCATCTTCTACTCCTTGGCTAACCTTGGCAACCTTCGTTTTCTCCCTAGAGGGTGACAAGGGGATGGAATCGAGTTCTACCCTCTGAATCAGGCCATTAGAACAAAAAGTGCATCCCCAGCCACAGAATAGGATGGTGGTTACGAGCAAAAGCTTTGGAGTCAGAGAGATCTGGGTTGAAATCCCAGCTCGGCCATGGACTATCTGGTAAATCAGCTATCCACTGTGCGGGAGTAAGAGTCTCTGACGGGATTTTCATAAGGAGAGAAGGAACAAATTGCTGAGCACACTGCCCAGAACACAGGGAGCTCTCACCAAACCCCGTACATTTCACTCGAACCACGAAACAGAGCCAACTTACTTCCTCCCCCTGCCACAGAGAGCTCACCGTGCAACAACCCGGCCTGCTTTTCTCTACCATGACTTCTTTATCCATTTCTAATGTGCCCAAAGAACTAGATTCTCTTAAAGCCAGAAAGCACTGAAATTATGAGCGATCTTAACCATGTTTGTCCTTCCCCCATCTTGATTTTACAGTCAAGAAACTTGCAGACTGGAGAAATTTCAGTGACTTGCCTGAGAAGCTGAAGAGAAGAAAGCAGTTCTTGTCTCTTGGTAGGAAGCTTGCCCTACTACACAGGGTCTCTACCTCTCATTAACAACGGGGGTGTTCAGAAATCACAGCCAAACGCCAACTCAGATAATTTACAATATTGGTATCATCTGCCATCTCTCATCTAGAAGCTCTCAGTTTAAAACACCGCAGGTCCCATCGTGTGAGAACTGCCACGGTCTGCAACCTCAGCGTTCAAGAGGCGAGGGTAAGGTCTGTCTGTTCTAGCAGAGCGGTCTCTGGACCTTGGAGCTTCTCCGAGGTAGACCTGGGCTGAGCGTGCCTCCGGAGTTGCCCGGCTAACGACTTGTACTCATTTTACTCTCTCTCAGCCTAGAGACACGCAAGCCCAAGCTCAGGAGCAAGTTCACAGTCCAACCAAGCCCTCCCTAACTCGAGAGTGTGGCTTCGCCCCTGATCAGATACCCACGTGCTGGACTTCGATGGCCTTAAGAACTCTGCTTTCTTTTTTTAAATATTATTTTATCGGGGTCATATTGGCTTATATTATTGTGTACATTTCAGATGTAGCTTCGTATATTGCAGTTGCTGTGTAGACTGCATTGTGCTCACCACCAGCAGTCCAGTTTCACCCGTCACCACACACAGATGCCCCTTTACCCGTCTTGCACCCCAGACCCGCTTCCCCTCCGGTAACCAATGATCTGTTCTCCTCATCCATGTGTGTGTTTGTTGATTCTTCATATGAGAACTCTGCTTTCTTTATGCTTTTGACTAGACTATCACTTTGGAAGGCCAGGTCCACATCTCCTGCAATTCTAAACACACTCCATACTCAGTAAGCTGTTAAGGAATTGGTTTCCAAGCGTTCCAAGCATTACAATAAACACTTTCCGTAAGTGCTTCACTTCCTCCCAGTGCCCATGCCTACATTTTGTAAATGTCATGCTCTCCCCTTCTCTCCCCAACTCACTCTACGAATTCATGCTCTCCGAGATTGGCAAACGTGTATCCGTGGTAGCCGAAAACATCTCCTGTAAAGAACTTGATGCTATTTTTGTGACAGATCTGGTCAACTTTCACTATGACATCCCTGGAGCAGCAAGTCAGACACACCTGCAGAAAGAAAGAAGTCGGCTGGGTGTGAGTTCTGTGAACTGTGACTCGTGGCCCTGCTGTGTCAGTAAGTCTTAACGGACAGTCTCCCTGGGCCTGCCTAAAGCCGCTTTCAAACCGGCACAACGGGTTCTTTGGATCTCTGGTTAGAAGACAGAAGAAAAGTTGCAGGTTTCAGTGTGTAGAAAACGTAAATTATGACACTGTCACTTTCTGCAACCAAAAAGAAACGTATTTAGTTAGAAAGTAAAAGCCATTCAAATTAGGGGAATTTGTTTCCCCTGATCCATAAACATATATAAACCACATTTCACAGTTTTCATGAAAAGGAAAACACAATAATAACTTAGCGTTATTTCTAAATTATTAAATCTATTACAATCTGAATAAGCTACAGCAAAAAGCAAAACCAGTTTTTTAAATTGACCCAAAGGTCACGTTTAAATACGAGGGCATTTTTCCCCCTTCTTTTGACTGATATGTAAAGATAAAGAAGATAAACAAGTCCTGTCGAGATTATTTTTCCACAGTTTTCGATGTGAAACTTTATCTGAATTTAAGGACAAAAGACAAGGTTACGGACCAGTGACCTTCCATTCAGACCCAGACAATGCCCCAGTGATGCACGCCGGGGAACTATCAACGCTGCTCCCAGGCCTCTGGGTCGTGTTCCAATAAGCTGAGGTATTGGAAATGGCTGTTTTACTGCATAAGACACCATCTTTTTGGGAGAGGCTTTGTGATCAGGGCCAAGGAGACAAATTCTAAATTGCACGCATTTTCTTCTGGACATAGAAAGTTGGAGAAGATATTAAAGGATGTTTTCATTTGATAGAATCTCTCTACTGTTGTCTGGCAGCCAGAATACTGAAATAACACTCAGAGGAATGTGCGTCTCTGGGGTCATTCAAAGGATGCAGTCACCTAGGAAAAATCAAATCTCAAAGGTAGGACAGCCACCACAGCAGAACATGCAATCAACTGACCTAACAGATCCCTGTGGGGTCAAAAGTGACAGTAAAACCTGCGCGGACCAGGCCAGCACAGCCCACAAGGCAGTTATGCTTGCCCTGTGCACCAGCGTCGTGTAAGCAACTGGCCCCACGCTCCAGTTCTAACAAAGCCTCTAATTGCTACAAGTTCAAGAGACACCTAAAATAAACCAAACGTGGGTACTATGGATAAAGAAATGAAGTGAAGACTTACGTCCAAACAGAAAATATTCTAATACCTGGAGTTACAAAATAGAATGAGTTCTTTTCAAAAAAGAGACGAAATGCACAGATGAGCCATCATCCCAAGTCCATATCTGAACAGATGCACATGTGAAACGTAACAGTGTCAAAAACAAACTACCCGCCCCAAATTCTAACCTCTCACGGAATGGGCCTCTCCTTTAAAAAACAAGCAGATCATGTGTGACTATTTCATGGTTATCCAACATTTGGCAAGCTTCTCCAGGGTACAGGGAACCGTGTCTGAAAGGTCACAGACACCGAAACAGAATTTAACTTATCCTTTCACCTTTGCATAGATGTGGCAGTGAAACCAAATGAGGCTGGCTCTGCCTCATTTGGCTTATGACTATAGTGATTTTGTCTCGTTATCCATGGCAACACGGTCAAAGTGGCTGTGTGAAAGAGACAGACACAGACAGACCAAGATCAGGTGTGCTCTTTTTTTAAGACAAAACACAAGCTGTAGTTTGCTATTTCTAACAGAAAAATGATTCTGCTACAGAAATTAATCAGCAACTTGTTAAGTTTTCAGGAGAAAACTTTTGCAATAAAATGTATCACCCTATGTGCAAAGATTCTGGAAGGAAGACAAAACATCAATGATGAAACCTGGTCTAAGGAAACATATGCGCAAAGAAGAAACCAACAGACACAACTCCCAGACGGCCACAGCCGATCCAACGACGTCTTCTACCCACCACCACTCTCTCTCCCCCAGCACGGCAGCGTGCGCACACGGCACGGACGCCACGGCTACGGAAGGCTTCAGCCTGCGAGGCTACACACTAAACCTAAGGAACACAACGGCGTCTAAACAGACTGGGAAAAAGCTCAGAATTTGAGATTCTAACGCTCCAGTGTACCTCATATACAGCCAGTGTTTTAATTTGCTTAATTCCCACGGCAGATTTTTACACGCTCTATGAAACTTACAGCATCAAATTGAGTGAAAAACGCCTCGGGTTTGTTTTCTATATTCTCAGTGTCCACCTTCACATCCACCATGGGGTTGAGATTCTGGGCTCGCTCCAAAGAGGCTTCGGCCCTGTTTCGGCCCACAGACCCAGTACGGATCAGGAACTGCGCTCCGGGGTCTTCTGGAGAAACCTGGGAATAATGTTTTGTTTTTAATACTTGAATTTGGGGAGAAAACAAATCTCAAAGGCAATGCATCTTTCAATTTAAAGGATAATTAAAATACCTACCATCTAATTGTATTACTGTGCTTGCACGTATCTGACTAATGCAGACTCCCTACATTCCCCTGAGGCTTTCAAATAGAGAAATTAACTTTTTTTTTTACTGGGCATTGATGGGTAAAGAGCACCCCCTTGTGTTGATAGAGGAAATTCACTCTGACCAGAAAAGTCCAAGCTCTCTTCTTCTACAGCACTTCAATTTGTAACTGCTAACAAAACGACCTAATTACCAGAGGTGAGAATTTTCCAAACACCTACCATGCGTCCGACTCCAAGCATTCAGAGAGAAACATAGTAGCTTAAAGGATGAAGTCCCCGCCTCCAAGTGGTTAAAAGTCAGACATAATTAAGAATGCTTGAAATGAATTCTTAAATTTAATTAAAACTCAGAAAGGAGGAGAGATGAGTGGGGGCTGGCACAGAGATGATGTCACCGGTAAGGCTGGATGTCAGCAGAGGAGAGCCTCAAAGACTGATAATATAACCACTCGACAGCCCCCAGTAGGATTACAGATTCCATAAGGTTCTCAAAGCATTTCTTCACAACCAAACATCTAACTCCACTGTTAACCTCTACGAAAGACCTCGCCACTTGCACCAAGACTGGGAGCAAGAGAAGTCCTCGCCCCTCCTCTCCTCCCGCCAACTCTCCAGCACACACTCTCCCTCACTGTCTTTCCCCCCGGAAACTGAGCCGGTCCTCCTCCCACCCAAGGCCAATGCTCTCAGGGTATCCTTGAGGCATCCTGTCCTGCTTCTTCAGGGAGTCCGGTACACACCGAGATGCTGTACACCAGAGTGGGGAAGAGCAAGGCTCTGGGATAACTGAGGCAGGATTCAAATCCTGGCTCAACCACTCACTGAGGGACCTTGAGTACGAGGGAATCACGTGAAAACTGAGGATGTTAATACAAACAATGCACTTACTAATCCCTCTGTCAATATTGGTTATTATCTGTTCTCTGCTCCCTTGGCCTCTCAGATCCTAGCTCTTTTCCTCGCTTGCTAGACATTCCAGTCTCTTTATGGGCTCTCTTAGGTGTGTCTGTCCCCAAGATTCCATTCTAGAATCACTCATCTTTTCACTCTGGCTCCATAAACCAACTCAATGCCTCTTTTAGTTTCTACCAAAATCTACTGATATTTCTCAAATTGCTCTTCCTGATCTTTTTTTTTTTTCAAAGATTTTATTTTTCCTTTTTCTCCCCAAATCCCCCGGGGACATAGTTGTGTATTTTTTTAGTTGTGGGTCCTTCCAGTTGTGGCACACGGGATGCTGCCCCAGCGCAGTCTGATGAGCAGTGCCATGTCTGCGCCCAGGATTCGAACCAGCGAAACCCTGGGCCACTGAAGTGGAGTGCGTGAACTTAACTCAGCCACGGGGCCGGCCCCCACTGATCTGAGTCTTATATTAAACTAACTGCCCACCCAACATTTCCTCCTAGATATCCCATAGGCCTTTCATATTTGACCTCTCTGATGATGAGTCCACCAACCACCCATGCGGTCACCCGAACCAGCAATCTGGTCTTCACATTCTGGCTATTTCCTTGACGGCAGCCACCTGGTGAGTGGTTAAGCACAAGGGCTCTGCCAGGAGCCAGCCGGCCTGAGTCCTGGTTGTACCACTAACTGCTGGGATCTTGGGTGGACCTGTACTTCACTTCTTTTTCCTCAGTTTTCTTATCTGTAAAATAGGGATGATAATCCCTACCTCTCAACGTCGCTGTGAGGACCAGATGAGAGAACACGACTACCGCTCTTCGAACAGTGTCCAGCCCCTTCAGAAGCATCAGCTGCAAATTCCACGCCCACATACAGCCCTGTCACTTCTACGCCCTCAGTTCTCCCCGGCGTGCTTCTTGCCCTCTTTATCACCAGTGCCATCACCCAGGCCTTCTTCACCTCACGGAACCGACTAGAGCAGTCTTCTGAGGGGCCTTCTACCCTGTATCTTGTGCCACCACTTTACACAGCAGTTAGTGAGCTACAGAAAGCCCAGAGCCGACCAGGTCACCCCTCCCCCATTTGAAACTCTTCCACGAATCCTCACCACCTAACACTAAGTAAAAGCTGACAGCAGGGCTTACTAGCAGGTTCTTCATGACTGGGACCTTACCTGCAACCTGGCCCCGCCCTCCACCACTTTTGCTTTATACTCTAAAAACACGAAATTGCCTGTTATATTCTATTGCTACCACACTGTTCTGCGCCACTGCTAATGTCCCCTGCCTAAAACACAGCCCCTCAACTTGACAAATGTCTACTGATTCTTTAAGACTCGGCTCAGATCAGAATTCCAGAAAACCTTTCGTGTCCCCTATCAGAACCTGAGTCAGGTAGCCTGCTCTGGTTTGAGAAAGACTTGAGAATGGGAACCAAATTCTGTGCATCCCCACTACCCTGCAGACTTCAGGGTGGAGAAGGTGCTCTCAGATGCCTGTTGACGTAAACTATGTGAAAACCTCTAAGGGGGAGGCAGGAACACCTTCATTTATAGATAAGCATTTTAGAGATACAGGAGAGGTTAGGGGCCCTGCCCAGACTGAGCAGATGGGACTGAGCCCAAGGTGCAGGATTCCAAAGCCTGTGCACCACACAGCACTGTCTCCCCGGGATGTTCCCAGTCAGGGAAAAAGCACGAGCCCACGGCAAGGGAGAACCACCCTAGTGTTCACGAACTAGTAAATGTATGAGGTGGGAGTCAGGCCGGAAGGGGGCTGGGACCTGGTTATGTGAAGTCAGTGGTTTTCAACCCTCCCTGACTGCTAGCCTCCCTGAGGAACTATCATTGTTAAGTAACTCCCCAAGCATTCTCCAGTGCAGTCGAGACCAAGAACCACCACGCTAAGCCTTGAAAACCAGTCCAAGGAGATGGGCCTTGCAGTGGCAGGCGGGTGGAAGGCCCCGTCAGTCCTCAAGGTGAGGAACAAGGAATGCCCATGAGCCCATTCACTCCAACACCGGGTGGCCTTCATCCCCGCACTGGGACGGTCACAGAAGCGTAGCACACACTCCTCGGTGCCATATGACCATTCCCCATTCTCAATTCCCCCAACCACGTGAGGAAGCCACCATCCCGTGTGGCTTCATTTTTCCACGCCAGGGGTCTGCAAGCTGAGGAACCATCCATGCGCGGGTCTCCACTCTTACCCTCTCCCTGCAAACACAGCCTTCCTCCAGAAGGGGCACTCCTGCCTCTAGGGGCACTGTGGCCACTGCGACGTCAAAGCAGCCAGCTCTCTGACCTCAACAGCCTGGCAGCGGGCCTACAGGAATTTTCTTTCCTTAGGAGGTTTTGAATTCAAGTCAAAAATCAATTTGTGACTGTGATATTAAGTGAGCCAAACCACCTTTCTCTTCATGTTGCAGAATTTCCAAAAAATAATTCCAGCTGTTTCTTTTCTTCTGAAACCCCAAACAGGTGAGCTTTTAAAAATTTCATAAACATTTACTTTTGCCCACAAAGCCTATACCACACAGTGTGCTAGTCACTTAGCATGAGACAGGACCCCTGTTCACTGCCTCACAGGAAAGAAAGACAAACAACATCACATGACGACACCACCTTTGAAGCATTTTACCTAAAAAGACACAATTTCTGGAATTTGCTTTAAAATACTGTTAAAAAAAATAGAGGAGAAGATAAATTAAAAAAAAAAAAAGATCGACAAAATATAGGTATCTGTAGAAGCCAGGAAGATGGGGAATCAAATACTGTTCTCTCCATTTTTCTATATATTTGCATTTTTCTATTAAAAAAGAGCAAAATGTCATTGAGGCATGAGAATGTAGTGAAAAAGGCAGTTATTTTCACCGTGGAGAAAAGAGGTCAGAGAAAGCTACATGAGTCGAGCACTATTATTATATTACCAATGAAACATTATATCATATAACTTACTAATTACTGGATGCTTATTACACTAAGCCAATGAGGTCCACACACATTCTCTCTGATCCAGTTTTCCAAAGTAATGTCTGTCAGCCATTGACATCAAGATCTCCTGGGGTGTCTTTTTTTTTTTTAATTAAATTTGTCTTTTAAATGCATGTATTCCTGAGCCTCATCTTAGAACTTCTAAAGCAGCATCGGTGGGGGTGGGGGTGAAGGCCACACCCTAACACAGCCCCTCGGCAATTTTGCTTTTTGACTTATTCAAGTGACTTACAGGCAGAGCGGGGAAGCCACTCCTCTACTTCCCACGGTCACCCTCTCAGTGGGATGTTTGTTAACTCCATTTTCCAGACAAGCGAGCTCAACGAGGAGACGGAGAGCCCCGCTGGTCACCCAGCTCGATGTGGTGGGGCTGAATTCCAAGCTGGTGCCAGCGCCGTCAGTGTCCAACGGCTGTGGCTGCGGTTCCATCCGCGCCAGCCCTCCCCTCCCAGCCCTGAAGGGCAAGGAGGAACTCACCAAACGTCGTAGCGTGACACTGAAGAGGGGCGGTCAGCAAGGAGAGCGAGGAGGGGCTGCACATCTCACCTGTTCGTGGTCCAGCATGGTCAGTCCCTTCACTCCTGCCAGGATGAGGTTCTTGGCAATTTCAGCCCCGAGTCCCTTCATGCCGACAAGAAGCACCCGGGAGGCCCGCAGCCTAGAAGGGAGACATTGTTAACCGGGTAACAGAGAACAGAAGACGCTCGACGAATCACCGAAGACAAAAGACAAAGTAACAGGGAAATAATTCTGGTTTTTTACTAAATGCACTGAAGCATCATGGCCTCAAACCTAGGAAAGAGACAGGCTCCACTCCATCCTGCAGAGAATTCATTCCACAAGTATTTACGGAGCCCCTCCGACGCCAGGCACCTCTCTAAGGGGTGGAAATCCAGCAGTGAATAAGGCAGACATAATCCCTGCCCTCCTGGAGCTTACACTTCGTGAAGGAGGCAAATGAGAGCATGTAAAACGTCAAAAAGTGAAGAAAAATCCAACCTGATATGGATCAAGAATGATAGAGGGTACCATCTTAGACAGGCTGAGCATGAAGGCCTTTCTGAGGAGGAGCCGAGCAAAAATCAAAATGGAACGCAGGACAGACATACAGATATCTGGAGAAGAGCACACCAGGGGGAGAAAGCATCAAGCGCAGAAGCTGCAGGAGCGCCTGCGGGTCCCGGGGCAGGAAGGACAGAGCGGCTGCAGAGCAGTGAGCGCAGGGGAGAGCGGTGTGACAGGGGCTGCAGACAGACCAGGGCCACATCACGAAGGCTCCTCCAGGCACTGGAAGGACTCTGCATTTAAGCCAAGCCTGATGGCAAGCCATCAGGGGGAAGACTGTCGCCGTTAAGGTGAGAGGATGGCGGCTTGGACCAGCAGGACAGCAGGAGAGGTGGTGAGAAGGGGCACTCTGTAGGCTGTGATACAGAAGCTAAAACGTGGCCCCACCAAAGACAGTGTATCTGGGAAGTGTTTGGACCATTCTTCTTTTTTTTTTTTTTTTTTTTTTAAAGATTTTTTATTTTTTCCTTTTTCTCCCCAAAGCCCCCCGGTACATAGTTGTGTATTCTTCGTTGTGGGTTCTTCTAATTGTGGCATGTGGGACGCTGCCTCAGCGTGGTCTGATGAGCAGTGCCATGTCCGCGCCCAGGATTCGAACTAACGAAACACTGGACCGCCTGCAGTGGAGCGCGCGAACTTAACCACTCGGCCACGGGGCCAGCCCCTGGACCATTCTAATTCTAAAGTGACAGAAGACGAGGCTAAAAAAAGCTGCTCCTGGGCTATCCCAGGAAGTCCAGATTTAACTCTGAGGTCAGTGGGAGGCAGCAGACGCCCATATCATCTTATTTGAAATCCCCTGAACCGGAAGTGTTTCAGAATCAGAATTTTTCAGATTTGAAAAAGGAAATAAAGAGTTTCATCATATATTCTGAAACAACCCCATGAGTATCTTTGGGAGCACCCTGTGATTAAACTCATTAATAATTCTGCAGCAAATGTACACTTATTCATACTGACAAGGACTAGTAAGAACTACCAACAGTCTCACATAAATGCAAGTTCCGCTGCCGGCCAGGGAGTTTGCTCTTAACTTACAAAGTCAGTTGATTCTCAACAAGTACCAGTGTGAGGGAGAACTGCCGACACTCTCTTCCAAAAACGGTCCTCATAATCGTGGACACTTGCAGGCATGAGACTAGAAGTCTTTAACGAGAACGGTGCTGATGAGATAGGGTCCTGCACTGGCCCTTGATGTCAGCAGACTCTGGATTTCCTTCGCTGATGTGACCACGGGGCAAAATGGAGGGAGGGGAGAATACTGACAATATTTCCCTCGAAGACAGGTCTGGGTCTCAGCTTCTCCATGACTGCCTTTTTCCTGTGGGGACCTTGCACTGCCAACCACAGGCTAGCAGACACTAGCCTTTCAAGCGACAATTCCACTTCACTAGAATTGGAAGCAATCGGGAAGAGGGCAGAGAATGCACGAGCAAGGTGAAGAACAGAGGTGCTAGTGCTGAGCAGGTCTCAGCACAGATTTACCACCAGGGGGTGGAAGGATAAGCAATGTTTCCAAAGAGAATACGGTGCACATAGCAAACCAGTGACATCGGGAAGGCTGAGCACCGTGCATGTTGCTGTGCGTTCCGGGTCTCTGCGGGCACCGTTAGTCTACGAGTCCTCCCTTCCCCTGGCCCTGACCCTGCCGCAGCTGGAACGCCAGCATCTAAGTTCCCTCTCAGTCTGAGGGACTGGGGACTTCCTTGCGCGGCTGCTCCAGGACCTCGAGGATCCAACTAGAACAGCCTGGCTCTCCTTCAGGAATCTGGATCTTCAAACATTACCAATGGCCTCCTCAAATCTCCAAACCCACTAACTTCTTCGCAGGCTCTGCTCTCCTTTATGTTCTCCAGCAATGGGCACTGCCCACCACTAATGCCCTCCAGGTCTGAAAACTCGGTTTGAATTCAGGCTCTGCCGCTTCCTAACTGGGTGACCTGGACAGGCTGCACAGTCTCTCTGAACTGCCGCTGGTTTGTCTGTAAAATGGGGATACCAATTCTGACTTCCTATCATTTAATCCCCTCAACAAGCTGAAAAAATGTGTGTGTAAAGACACCCAGCATAATCCCTGGCATATAACAGATGCCCGATACATGTTACTTGAACTTACTGAATTTCTCAATCCCCACTGCCTTAATCATAAAAGGGCTCAGGGATGGGCTTAATTCTGATTTTTAAAAAATCTGACAGAGGAAAAAAAAATCTAAAGCTGGCATCTAAAGCCACTCAGGATTGGCTCCCTCTCGCCCTCCCAGCCTCATCTCCTACTACGAGCGGACTACTCGCTCGCCAACACACTTCCGGCTTCCCACCCGCGGACTTTCCAGCACAGCAGCCCGCTCACCTGAAACGCGCTCCCTTCCTCTCCGTGTCTGGTCAAGCCTTTCCCCAGACTTCCCACCCCAACTCAAAGTCCAGGGCCTCAGAAAGTCCCACCCTATGGCGCAGACTCAGGCGAGCACTCCGTCCTCAGAACTCGCAGAGCAGCGCGGCATCTCCAGGCCTCTGACATAAGTCACAGGCAGCCGCGTGGCCTCTCCACGACCCCGCACCCCACAGAGCTCTGCACGCTGACTGCCCGGGAGCTTCTCACGGATCTGCCATCAACACTGAGTGTGCTTACGTGTGTTCAACCCTCAACCAGGCTGGGGGCCCCGAGACTACTGCTCATTCATGGCTCCATTACAGGAAAAGCACTTAAAATAGGCCCCAGCACACGGTCAGCACTTGGAGAATGTCGGCTGGTATCACTCATTCTCCGACGCAGCAATCCCCCTCCTAGGAACCAACCCCACAGAAGTATTCAAGCTGGCACAAAACCACATGCGAATACATTCACAGTGGCAGCGTCCATCCACTTCCCGCCACCTGCACGGCCACCCCTGCTCTGGGCTCCATCGCTTCCCACCTACAATACCGCAGCAGCCTTCCAGCCGGCCTCCCCGCTTCCGCTCTTGCCCCCCAGTCCACTGGCCCTACCTCAGGCAGAGACATTTGAAACCAGATTATGCCGCTCTCCTGCTCCAATCTGTCACAGGTTCCCTGTGCAGCCTCCTGAGCACAAGCCTGCGCGCCGCTCGACTCACCCTGCTCCCTCCCTTGGTAACCTGCCAGCAGCCACGCAGGCCTTCCTGGATCCTAGAAAACACATTTGCTCCCGCCATAACACTTCGGCATGAGTTGTTCTTTCTGCTTCTTCCCCCAACTTTTCACATGACCCATCTTTAGGTCTCAGCTCAAGTGCCACCTCCTTAGAGAAATCCACACTGGCCACCTTACTCCAAAATGAGTCCACACCCTCTTCTATCTGGCATTAGGCTACTTGTTCATACACTCACTGTCCGCTCCTCCTAGAATGTACGTTCCAGAAACCATTGTATCCCTAGCATCTGACTGTGCTTGGCACCTATGACACTGCTCCTCACACAGCTGTTGAATTGATAGGCACACCAAGAGAAACCCAAGTGTCCATCAGCAGAATGACATAAGTCTGGCACGTGATAAAACAATAATAGCTGGTGCCGGCCCGGTGGCACAGTGGTTAACTTCACTGGTTCCACTTCGGTGGCCTGGGGTTCGCCGGTTTGGATGCCGGGTGTGGACCTACACACTCCTTGGCACGCCATGCTGTGGCAGGCGTCCCACATATAAAGTGGAGGAAGACGGGCACGGATGTTAGCTCAGGGCCAGTCACCAAGGGGAGGATTGGCAGCAGATGTTAGCTCAGGGCTAATCTTCCTCAAAAAAATAAATTAATAAAATAATAATAGCTAACATGATGTATTGAACACTAATTATGTATCAAGCACTGTTCCAAAGTCTTTACATGTATTATGTCATTTAAACCTCATGACCACCTTATAAGCTGGTACCTTGTTACCCCTATTTTGCAAGTGAGGAAACAGGCACAAAGAGGTTAACTAGCTTAACCAAAGTTACAGGGCTAGAAAATGGCTACTATAATCAGCTAATAGATAAGGGTGACAATAAGGTAGAGCGATTTATGGTGGACTCTGAGGCCCACCCTGCCCTGGGTAGGCAGCCACTAAAAAGACAAAAGCAAAGGTAACACTTAGTAAGAGTTCCTGTATGCCAAGCACTGTTCTAAGCAATTTATCCTATACCTGCAAGGTAGTCACCATCATTATTCGCAGCTTACAGATAAGAAAGCTGAGTGGGTAGACAGATACTGCCCCCTCCCACAAGGTCCACACCCTAGTCCCTGGGACCTGCAATAAACTACTTTACAGGACTTCTACATCATGAAAGGAATGTTGTGGATGTGATTAAATTAAGGGTTTTGAGATGGGGAGATAATCCCAGACTATCTGGGTGGGTCCAGGAAATCACAAGGGTCCTTAAAAGCGCAGGCAAAAGGGTCAGCTCAGAGGAGATGAATGACAAAAGCAGGGTCCATGGTCAGAGAGAGATTTGAAGATGCTCCACTGCTGGCTTTGGAGAGCAAGGAAGGGGCCACGAGACAAGAAATGCAGGTGGCTTCTAGATGCTGGAGAAGTCAGCACATTCTCCCCCAGAGCCTCCACAGGGAGCAGGGCCCTGGCAACAGCTTGATTTCAGCCCAGTGAG